CTTTCAAATTTTAAAAGTTATATTAATATCAACTAATTTAAAATTAAATCACAATAAATCACATAATTTTTTTTATATCTACTATTTTATTTATTAAATTTAAATTTAAGATTTTATTTAAATAATATTTTTACCCAAATGTATGACTTTATTTTATTTAGATTTTATTTAAATCAAAAAATTGAATGATTAAATAAGTCAAAAATCTAGCCCAAATGTCAAATCCCTTGCCCTATAAGCATGGCATGGCAATATTTTGCCATCCAAGCAGCCAAACGACTGTGTCCTAAACGGCAGTTAAGCCACGCAAGCAAGTCTCAAGCGGCAGTTAAGTTGGCGTAAGAAGAGGGGCTTAATTGCTTTGATCGCAGAGTTTAAGGACTTATATGCATCAATTAAAGTTAGGAGCTTAATAACGATTCTGAGATTAGTTTAGGGGCTTAACTCATGATTTTGCCAAAAAAAATTACACCTCATTTATCTGTCGTTATAGTGTTGCCACTAGAACCATTAGTGTAGGCCAACGACTTTGAAGAGTCACCTTCGGAAAAAGCTTGCTGCAGTGCAATTATGCAAAGTCAGGAATTGATTGCTCTCTGTTCCAGCATGTGATTGTGGACCAACAGCTCCAAATTTTAATGAGACTGGACGGGAAAGAAATGAGTGTATCGGAATTGAAACTCAATGCCAAAGCAGTACTAGAATGTATAGCTTTGTTGAGCAGGAGGTGCTCAGCTTTACTTTTTCCTCTTTACTGCCCAACAACCGTGTGCTGTACTTTCACCAAAAAAAAAAAAAAAAAAGAAGAAAAACTATATGCTGTATCAATATTGACGCGAAGAATGACAGGTCGATTTTATTTTTTTTTTTGAGTTATTTTTTATTATTTATGTATTAATTCTTTAATTTTCTGTTCAGTTGATTAGACTCCACTAGTTGTTATTAATACTGAATTGAAATTTTTATATTAGACTTTTTGTTTATTTTTTAGATAACAAAATGCATATTAATAGTTGGATGAAGGATTATTTTGCAAAAGAAAATTAGTTACTGGCTGCCAAAATTTTTCAGGAATAAGTAAATTCAAAGAGGATGATCAGGGATTTAGGAAGTGGCACTGGCACATCAAGAAGAAAGGGGGAATTTTTATAGCTGGATAACTTTGAATTTACTTCCAAAGGTTAAATTCAATTGATTTTGGCTTGCGGAAGATGGGGAATGAAAAGTGCAAAGCAACGAATAAACCTGAGCAATCGAAAAACCAAGATAAGTAAATTTTTATTATATATATTATTTTTAATAAATAAACTTTAAAAAAGTAGCAAAAGGGGTCCATAC